CCCCCCCCCCCCCCCCCCCCCCCCCCCCCTTCTTGAACTTTCCTTAATGACAGCTAGATGTTTTTTTCCCAGCAAAAGCTGACTGCTACTCCTGCCATGACTGATGTCAGCTGGAGGAACAGATGGCTCAATGGTTCATTTTGAATTGTTCATTCAGCCAAACAGCACAAATTGCATTAATTGCCTCACAGTACGAGCAGGGAATGGAGCGCTCCGCATGTCCTCGCTGTGAATGACTGGGACTCCTCATCACCATTCCCGTTTGACAGGTCAGCTGGGAACTTACCTGCATGCTGGCAAAGGTGGGAATAGAGGGAGCACAGCACAAGAAAATGCTTGAGTTACTCTGCAGGTAACAGAAGATGCCCAAAGGCTGATACAGCCTTTGACTTGGCTTTGGAATGGGTTCCTCAGCACAGTGCCACTTACTGAAGTGTCATTTCTTAAGGTGAGACTGGCCCCTGCATCCAAGAACTGAAAAAACACATGTAGCGAGAGAGTTTGAAACAAGTTATCCCAAATGTATCTTTTGCTTGCTTCTATAAGTTGGGAGCCTTGTATCTGTTAAATTTACTACTACATGTACACAAGCACATGAAAAATTCATACGGAAGGTGAGTCCAGGCAAAAAAAGAACTCCTTTAGGTTCAACTGCTCTAAACCCTGCCAATAAATGATCTATTAGATGCTCTATAACCTGCTGAAAAGTCCTGGCCCCTTACTCATCACTTGCAAGTGAAATGTGTTAGCACTTTGACTGCTGAAGACATTTTTCTTTTTTTTTTTTCTTTATTTTTGACCAAGGAAAAAAACTGAAAAACTGCCACATGAGACCTGAAGTCTATAGGATACAGGTTCACAGAATACAGCTTCACTGTTACCCACTGAATAGATTTATTTCCACAGCTTTAGTAAAATACAATACCAGGAAAAGACTAAATTTACTCTCCAAGAGACTGTTGAGGTTCCTGCTACAAAATATCCAGGGAAATCCTGCTGCTCTTTCCTTTTCTCTGCTATAGAAGGGCAAAGCCGCTGTTGTTTCACCACCACAGGCAAAACATCTGTACCATACCTATGTGCATTAAGCCCCTCCTCCAAGAAAAAAAAAAATGGAAAGACTAGCAGGAAATTAAAAATAAAAAGCAGCACATGTGCAAACCCAGACCTACAGTGACGTATGGTGGTGTAAGTAACCCTCCCTAAAGTGGCAGCAGATTTGTTTATTGTAAATGGAAGACACCTGAAGGGCAACTCTTGTTCCACCTCTCCTTGGTGGAGACACCACACCTTCCTTCACTGTTTGCTCTGTGCTGGCCTCAGACCTCACAGGTTTCCAGGGGAAAGAGGCTCTCCACTGTTTTTCTCCCTTAAGCAGAAGTCAGCAGAAGGCAAAGGATACCTAATTGCATCTGATTATGGAAAAAAAGAAGTACTTTACACCATTAATTTCCTTTCCTCTTGCAAAGCTTTGGGGGAAAGCTCCCTGGATCTGAGCTTCTTCCACACTCTGTTCTGTACCTCTAAAAGAAGTGCAGCAAAATTCCTGGAGGCCTGCCTTCTCCCAGGAGGAAACTTTGCACTTGCTCTGTACGTTGCTGCTTCAGTCACACTGTCTTGGTGGTGCTGACAGCTCCTTGTGCACTGCCAGAAACACCCTGATCCTTGTGCTTGCCCTGGGGTCTCCCCATACTGTGACTCCCCAGTAACAGAGACTTGCCCTGCTGTTTTCCTTCCCAAAGTACCTCATGTGGTGCATTTAAATGCTCAGATTTGGAGCACCATCATTTGGTCTTCTTTGGAAACAGGACCTTACTGGGATTCTGATTTCTGCTTCAAGGCAGTCTTCTTTGCGCCCATGGGCCAATTCCAGCAAACATTCCCATGCCTGCAGTTCAGGTGAGCTGTTTCACAAAGCCTGTAAGCACTTCCAAGAGCTCCTGCACCTCCATCTCTGAATGATCTCCCCTTCTTTTGGACTCAAGCAAGCAGCTTCTGAAGCTACTGGAGAACTTACAGCTTGTAGCAAGAATTAATTCAGACACTAATTTATTCCTTTGGGGCTCTTTTCCTGGGTTAGCTGCATTTTACCAGCTTTTAACTGCATTCCCCCCAACTCCGCTGACAATACCCACATGGGAGAAGGGGAGGGAGAAATGAAGCACAAAGCAGCCTGAAGGATCAGGAATGGCAGAAGAGGCAATGCAGATTACCACTGGATCTTCCCCTGCTCTGGGAGGGCAACAAAGCAGAAGCCAAGCTACAGACCTGCAACCTCAAATTTCATTATTTTAGTTAATTTCAACATGTCCTTTAATTTAACAGGGAAAGGATGAGACCATGCTTAGGGGCAGGTAATTTTCATATTTAAGTCATAGTGCTATGTTCAGTGATGTCTAAGAAACATGAGCTGTCAGAAAACCCAGCTTACTCTCCAATTACTCAGCACTGGCTGCACCAGAGGAACCCACAAGGCTTCTTTTCCCAAAGACACCTCCTGTCTGGTCATCCATTTCTTGATGCTCCAATGGGCTTTTCTGGACATGTCTTCCTCTTGAGCCCAGCTCCAAACGGCTGCAAGGCCAGGTATGCTCCCTTCCTTTCAGTTTCTTCCCCAGGCTAGAGGAGCATTAATTCTGTGATTAAGCTAGTAAGTGGGGCCAGATGGACACACAGAATAATGTTGGAGAGGGAAATGTGATAGCTCATGCTAGAGAGATAGTCATCAGAGAACATGGCATGGAGTAACTTAGAGGTTTTTGTTGCTATGAGCAGCCATGATCCTTCCAGCCTCACCAAAAAATTTAGAAGCCCCCCTTATCAAGGAACTTCTCAAAAGCCTTGTAAAAGTACAAATAAATTATATTAATTGGTTCCTGTTTATTCATGTAATATCAAAACTCTTGACTTCATACAAAACTGATTCTGCTTTTCCTACTTTGATTTTAAAAATACACATTTTTAAAAACTAAATAGTAATTGTTTACTAACATTAATTAAATGGCAGTCAGAGCTTTTGACACGTGACACCCAGGGCAAGTAAATAAAATGGAAATTTCTGCTTCTTCATTATTAATAACAAGGTACTGGTCATGGTTTTTCAGTTGTGGTCCCAGCTACCAAGTCCCCCTTTTGTAAGGGCGTAAAAGAGGGGCTAATAATGTTTTAGCAATTCTGGCAACATCTCTTTAGATTTATGCCACTGTCACTGGTAAGGATTTGACCCTGGAAATGTAATGTCATGTACAGCATCTAGGACTTCAGTGTGATTTTCCTGTTTTGTCTGGAAGAACAAGGCCAAATTCCTGTTTATAGTTGTGGCTACATAATTATATTGTCAACTGCTCCATGCTTACAATCCTGATTTTGTTCTATGTGTTGTTTTCCTGTACCTTACCTTCATCTCTCTCATGTCCTTTACTGTGATTCCTGCA